AGCTGACCTTTTTAAAAGTGAGACTTTTTAAACTATGCTTGATTCCAGTCCAAACCCCGGCTTGAATTACTTTGTTAAAGTCAACATGTTCCTCTGGGTTTGGGAGTGTTTCTGCGGAGGCGGTTGTGGGTCGACAAAAGCCATCACCCCCTAGGAGCCGATAGCATCAGAGTATCTCGCATCCGGTTGTAAGAGTGAATTAATCAGCCATTGCTGAGGCTGCAGCCTGAGACTGGAACAATGAGGCCAGCAGGGAATAGAAACACAAGTTTTCTCAGGTCAGAGAACAGCTTGATTTCATTTAAACGCTTCAATAATAAGCTGTGGCCTTTTACTCACGCCTGTTCTAGTGAAGTGTTTTCTGGAGGGGACATGACACCCCCTGAACCCCAGGGAGAAGCTCCTCAATCAAGTTTCCTTTTATAAAACAGGTCGAAATGAACTGACACAATTCAGTCAGAAGTAGGTTGAAAACTCATTATAGTGAGGGGAGGCTTACTCTTAGCCCCAGGGCTTTTCTCAGTTAAATAGCAGACTGCATTTCAGCCGGTTGTACAATGCGATTTGTTGGCCCCTTTCTTCTGGCGTTTTAAACCTAATTCCAATAAACCAGGACTTATGGGCTATTGTAGATATATTATTCATGTTATGAATGACAGCTTTATTAAACAGCCCGGTGTTTTACAGTTGGTTGCACAAGCTTTACCTTCTCCGACATCGCAGCGCCACAGTGTGTCACCTCAAACAAGTAATTCACTTAAGTACGATGTTTCAAATGAATATTAATGTGATACCCCAGCCAGGTCATGTGTTGCATATTTATCTATGAACACATAATAAAGTGAATTCCCCCTTTTGTTTCATTGGAGAGGGCAGACTTTGTACTCGTGACATTTTAGAAGTGCTGTGCAGTGTATGGTTTTGTTCAGGGGATAAATGAGCTTCGTAGAGCGCTGCACATGGAACTAATCTTCAGTTTTATTTTATCCTCACTTCAATAGCAGCCAGAGCCTTAATCAGAATAAAGCCATACAGTCCCAGACCCTTGCGTGGCCCCTGGCTGTTACAGAAGTAGCAGTCCTCTGCAGTCAGAAGCCTTTCGTCATGCTCAATGATCAGACTTCAGTATCAGAATGTGAGAAGTCTCTTAGTTTTAATTGAAGTTCAGTGGTGTAAAGTGACTAAGTACATTTACTCAAGTACTGTACTTAAGTACAATTTTGAGGCACTACTTTGTACTTCTACTCCACTACAATTCGAGATAAATATTGTACTTTTACTCTGCTACATGTATTTAATATCTTCAGTTACTTTGCAGATTTGGATTAATGATATAAAACATAATCAACTCTTAAATCAGACATTAGTTACACTTGGAGTAAATTCACAAGCAGAGTCATCGAGACTAGCGGCACCTTTACCAGCTTTGATAACACTTTAATGCATCAATAAATATGATCAAAACATATAATATATATTATTCTGAAATGGGCCGATCTGCATAATGAGGACTTTAAGTATATTTGATGTTCATACTTTTCTACGTACAATATCTGGGCAGGCCTACTTCTGTTGAAGTGCAGTCCGAGGAGCAGAAAGTGACGGTACAAATGAATCTCTTGTTTCCCCCCCCCCCCCCTCAGCCTCCAGAGGAGATCTACTCGGCCGGTGACTCCATTGTGATCAAGTTCCACTCCGACGACACCATCAACAAAAAAGGATTCCACGTGCGTTACACCAGCACCAAGTTCCAGGACACACTGCACTCCCGCAAGTGACCAGCGGGGGCCAGGAGGGGCCGTGCGGGGCAGAGGGGCAAACGGAGGGGCCCCAAGGGGAGGCGCAAGCCCGACGCTCGGAAACCTTTGGCCACCAAGATAAATCAGACACGACAGAACAGCCGCAAGACCACCAACCGCACCTCAGCTCCCAGGGGCTCTAGCGCCCCCCACAGACTGTGAGGAGTAAAGCCATTCTGCAGTACACCTTGTTTTTACCTTTTTATGGTTAGGATTGGGGTGGGAGGATCAACGTCTGCCTTAGGCGGACAGTAGGGGAAGATTTATTGACCCAGACCCCTCCAGATATTTTTTTGTTTCCTCTTTTTTTTTTTTTTTTTAATGTGCATCCTAATGAGAGGCACAAAGGAAAACAGTGGATTCTCAGGACCTGTAGGAAGGCGGGCTTTTGTCGGGCCAGCCCACCACATCCGGGAGGGGGAGAGGAAGAGGAAGAGGAGTATAGGAAGGTCTCCTGCACTCCTCAATAATTGCTCTCCTCTCCTCACACATCCCTTTGGTTCAAGGATTCCTATCTGTAAAAGGACTTGACTTGAGGTTTTTGATACTGTATGTCGGTCAATTGCATGTAATTACAAGGAACGAAGGAAAACTGTACAGTGACAACACCAGCATTTGTAATTGGCATTGTCCTGGCACCCAGTGGCAAGATTCTCGTTGTTACCATTAACAAGGAAATTAAGGAAGCAGTTATCTTATTAAAGGACTAATACATGAATTGTGGTCCATGTCTTCTGGTTGGTAATTGCTGGCCTGAGGACTGGCTATTACTGTACATCCATGTATAAAGTAATGTGTATGATCTTTCAAAGGGAACATGTGCTTTTCTCAGCTCAAACCAATTAGCACTTTACAGTGAATTGTTCCAAAATCATGAGCTTATGAATTTTTGTGAAATGCAATGCCAGTTCACTTATTTTTAAATGCATTTTATCTCTTATTCTACATTGTTTTCTTTTTTTAATTGCTCCAATTAGTTCCTCAGGCATACTTGAACATTGTGTGTGCCCTGCAACATGGGGTAATAAAGATATGATTTATGTTTCAGTGTTGGTTTACACTTCTGATGTAAAATAATTTCTCTCCAGAGAAAATGCCTTTTTCTTGGTACCATGAAGTATTTCTCTAGAACCAAATGGGCCTGGGTATTTATTGTTATAGTAATTATAATGTAAAGGTGGAACGGTGATGTTGGAATAGCCCTATAATTGCCTTCTAATGTATAGCCATTGGTCTGTGTTGAATATATTATGTTGCTCACTCATTCCTTTTCTCCGTTTATTGCTCATTCAACGCGATGAGAATATTGTTGTGTCACATCGAGGGAGTATAAAGCATCTGTTTGATGTCCGACCTTCGTGCACAATACTATTTGATAACTGTTTTGTGCCATTTCAGTAAAACCTTGTCCTGCATCACTCCAGCGGATTTGAGTGCAATCCAGGACATGTGAGTAGGAGGCGAAATACAGAGCTGAGGACTTAAATGGTACACTGGTCTGTTTGAAATAACTTTCTGACACCTAGCAAACACAGAGAAAAAGCCACATATAAATATCCGTTATTCATCCTTTCATCTACGCTTCACTATTTATAGACGGAGCTTGTCATTTCAGACTGCAGAAGGAAAGTATTTCATTTTTCGCCTTGCTGAATATTCATTTGCCTACATATAACCTCTCTCCCCCCTCAATGCTTTCCCATTACCATTCTGTTGGTCTTCAGAAAAACAAATAAAACAAAGCGAGTCAGAGCAGTGTAGTTGCAGGGAAAATTGGCACAACTGAAATTGGCATTCATTAAACTTAAACCAAGAGAAAATGCTGCAAAATACACGCAGATGAACCCGGACTGCAGTCTCGGTAAACACACTTTAAAAAGATCAATACGAACTCATGAATATTTGATGAAGATTCCTGAAAGGTGCAGGTTCAATATCTTTAAACAAAGATTGGTTTTCTTCTGGTGATGCAATTTCAATCTGTCCATATTGAATTCAGTTAAGTACATGGTATAAATTAGATTGTTGAACACTTTCTCGATTTATATAATATAGTGAACAAATACCCCCTACTATACTAGATATAAATGGTGGAATATAACTAGGTACATTTACTCAAGTACTGTACTTGTGCTTTACTTGAGTATTTTCATTTTATGCTGCTTTATGCTTTTACTACACTAAACATATTCTATATTATAATAGGTTAAGCTACCCAAGTAGTGTAGGAAAACGTCATTTCGATCTCTCTGTAAACACAAACTGAGTACGATTGACATTAAAGTTGACTTTGACTATAAAGTCATTCAAAGAAACCCCAACTTTACCAAGTGCAACATTGAAGTGATGAACACATTAATACACCAATCATTTTAATACAATCATTAACAAATATATGGTGCTGAAATGGGCTGTTCTGCATAATAAGTACTTCAACTTGTGATACTTTAAGTATATCTTGATGCTATTACTTTTACTTTCCAGGACTTGTGCTTGTAGCTGAGTATTTTTACACTGTAGCATTGCTACATTGCTACATAGCATAATCTTCTTCCACCTGTGCTAGATATACAATATATAGTCATTAACACAAATGTGGAGGCTATTCAGAAAAATGTAGTGTTTGCTCCAGTGAAGACAGTGTGTCTGAATTGGGAAACATATCATCTTACTCTTTCTAAGTAAAACCATTTCTTTATACAGCTTCTATATATCAGATGTGTTTGCTTGTTATTTGCTGCATCTTGGGAAAATGACCTTCATATTTCAATCAATGTAAATGGAACACTGACATTCAAACTCTATAGTATCATCAGTCGTGAAAATGAGCGCTAAATCAGCACAGTTTTATTTTCCTTCTGCCACATAATGAACATGGTGCTGCTGCTTTATTAAAACAACACAGAGGACTCCAGGACAAAAGTGCTAATGTTTTTAACTCAAAACATTTGTTCTGCTCCCATCTTAATGAACACTAAATGCCTCTGTATGCAGGACTGCTGTCCCGGTGTTTAATGACCCACATGAAACATTCATGCACTGCAATCCAATGTAAAATCTGAGCCGTTTCACATGAATAATTAACGACGGCCAACTGGAGATGTGATGCTGCGTACTGTAGCTCTCCCAGTAGAGAAAGAAAGTGACAGGTCTCCGTTACATAACAATGCAGAAGAAAACAACACATGGAAACACCCGAGGCTTCCTGCACTTGTTTTATTTGACATTCACAAGTAACACACAAAACAAAATGTACTGTTCTCGCTGCAGTCGAGTCCCTCTCCCTAACCATTATTGTGTTATGTGGCTTGACAAATGGCCCTTACCCTCACTGAGGGGCACACTGGAGCCGGCGTTGATGGGTGTTTGAGTGCTACTCTAGACTGTAAGAGAGCAGAGTGTAAGTGAGTGTGTGTAAGTGCAGTGGACGATGTGAGCGTACACCTGAGGAGCCGACAAGAGGTCTCTTTCACTTGGAGCTGATAACGAAAGGAAAAACCAGAAGCAGTTTGAGCTCCAAGATATAAACGTGAAGGGAAAGGGGTTTTAAGTATAAACATCTCTTAAGAAGAAGTGTGTGCTGGCAGCATCAAGAGTTCAGTTCACAATGTGTGAGAGCAGCTTACTGAAACATTTACATCACAAAACTGTGCACGGTAAAAACTTGACTAGTACAACTTTTAATCCAGCCACATCCAGACAGCTTTACAAATGTGGCTGAAGAAGAAAATTACAATAAGTGAAAGAAAGGTGATGTGTCACGTTAATCATGAGAGCCGCTTAGCACACGTCAGAGCACGCTGTCGGTGTTCACAGGTCACAGAACAGTCATCAGCTCTTCACAACTCGATGAGCTACACCAATGAAAACTGTGACTCAACCTCCATTTCCCAATAATCACTGAATCATCTCCACCTCCAGGCTGAAGGCGACATGGGATCAAATAAATAACTGACTCATTGAGTCAACCAAGAAAGGTCGACCCACTTCATTGAGTCATTAACACTTATTACATGTGCTTACAATCCACTGATTAATACAAGATAAAAAGATGTGTTTGGTCATGAGAAACAGCTTCTAATAAAGGAATCTGACATCTTTGTGCTGTAGAGATCATTTACTGATCTGCTATTCTGAGTGCTTTCAGTGAACAGAGGAACTCCCCTGTCTGACATCAGTGTGAGTTGGCGGACGGGTGTGTGTTTACGTGCTGATTGGTTGCCAGGCCAGCACTCCAAACTGTCCCCCCACCCAGCAGATAAACGCTCCCAAGGCTGACGCCACCATCACGGCGAGGCTGGCCTTCAGCACAGCGCGGGGGGTGCGGTTGAAGCGGGGGGGGGCCACCCAGGCCAACATGGCCACAGTCACGGTCAGGGTGAACAAAATGGAGACGGCGGTGTTTATAGCCACTATCTGGCCAAACTTGGCGAAAGGCACAATGACGCAGAAGAAGAGAGGGACTGTGGAGATCACCGTGGTGACGGCGCTGGACACTATGGCAACGCCCACATGGTTGACTGCCTCCAGGGTCCGCCTTTGCCTCTCGACCCCCGGCTCCTGCAGAGAAAACACAGATTAAAGTACAAGCAGCCAGCGGGGGAGAAAGTATTCAGATCCTTTAATTAATAACACTGTCAAAAGAAAAGTACAAACCCTGCATTGGAAATGTTACTTAAAGGGGACCTATCATGCAAAATGCACCTTTGTACGTCTTTTATACATGAATATGTGTCCCCGGTGTGTCAGGGAACTCACCAAGAGTCAGAAAACACAACCCTCTCTATTTTCCTCCATACCCAAATCTCTAAAAAAGGGGCTGCAACGGATCTGATAAAAACTGATCCAGATTTGAACAATGTCCTGACGTCAGGACGGTGGCGCTACGGCTATTGGGCCAACTCCACCAATCAGGAGGAGACAGCCACGGCCATTGCCGTTCGAAAGCGCTGGAGACGCTCTAGTACATATGCCAGGCCTGTAGGTGGTGCTGTTCTCACAGAATCTGCCCTTACAAACACAGAGCTAAAAAAGTGCAAATTGAGCGAAATGAGGCATGGCTAAAATGCATGATCTGTTTGGTATTTTGAAAAAGAAAAAGTATAAATATGCCTTATATAGGTATGGTCCTACACTATATTATTAAAATATAGCATGATAGGTCCACTTTAAGTCAAAGTAAATAACTGTAATCAGCAAAATGTAGTTAAAGTATTAAAACAAAAAAGTACCCAATGGAAGAAAAATAGTTCACAGTAAAATAGTAAGTTACCTAAATTGTCATTGATGCTAATTAATTATCTCTCAATGACTAGATTTAATGACAAAGCTGACAGTTGGCTGGTTTCATTTATAATGATTTTTTCTTTTTATAAACTTTTATGTTTTATTGAAAAAATCTTAATTTGTAACTATAAATGTTGAATAAATGTAGTAACATAAAAAGTACTATATGACCCTGTGAATTGCAGTAGAGTTAAAGTATAAAGTGGCATGAACAGATACTACTCAAATAAAGTACAGGTACTTCCTCATTGTAATACTTGAGTAAATGTACTTATTTAATTTCCACCACTGGAAGCGGCTCCTTTTTCTTAATGCGCCTCCAGGGCGCTTCTTGCCTTTTTTGTGAACAGATGTGGAACTTTAACTAATTGCTAAATTGAAAGTACCGAGTTATGCCCAGGCGTGGAGCTCATGGTCTCCCCAGCCAGCAGGTACCCCTCCACCAGGTGCAGGCAGTAATCCACCGAAGATCCCACGAGTATGGAGAGGGAAATGGCCTCGACCGCTCCCATCTCCCAGCCCAGCCAATACATGATGGCCACCACCAGACAGATCACTCCTGAGGGAGGACAGACTCTCAGAATTACACATATGATGCAGACCCAGGCCTAGATGTTTCATTTTAAAACCGTTCCTGAGTGTCTTAACAATTTTCTGTTTCCATACGGTTTTAAGTACCTAAGGTCCTCAACGGCAGGTATTTAAAAAAAGAAAATCCCCTCCCAAAAGATAAGGGAAGTGTCTTTTATCCACTACACTTCCAAATTGTGGAAGACCCTTCCATCATTTTTTAAATGCCCGGTGAAAACATTTTGAATTAATATTATTATATTTTTCACATGTCTAATATATCTGTTAATTGTATAATACTGTTTTATTTCATACTATGTATTTTTTTACTTTTACTGAGTGGGTTATCTGTTATCAACTTTTGTTTTATTTTATTGTATTTATACTTTATTTTACCTTCTTCTATGTCATGGAGTAATATGTAAACATGCTGCATTTGTGCTAAAAGGTTTTAACATTTGACTTTTTATTACTTTACTGTTTACTGTTTGCTGTGTGCCAAGTTTACAAATAAACCTTTATTATCATTGAATATACAACTTCTCATCCCTCACCTACAATGGTTACGAGCACTGGGAGCAGCAGCAGAGGATGTGCGGTGAACACGGACACAGCGGCCACACAGATGACCAGAGACAGCAGCAGACTCCAGAGGGCACTCTCCACTCCTACACACAATATTATCAGAGTTTCGTTAACAGATTAACATACAGTTTTTCATCAATATATTATAGGTCTCAGATATCAAAACATGTCTCTGAATACCAAACCGATCATTGCAGCATCCCATAATCCCCTCTGTTTCAGCCCTGTTTCAAAAGTGCTGATTCTGTGTCTGTTACTTTAGATGAAAATAAGGAGCCCCTCCCCACGCCCCTCTGAGAGATATTTGGTTAAAAAGAACACAATGGTGCTCTAGGAGGAGATTCAGGTGATAAGGTGGGGGGGGGGGGGGGGGGGGGGGGGTTACCTTGGTTGGTGATTGGCTAATGGTAGCACAAGCCAAAAAATCGTTATGACATCATAAAGTGGCCAAAATCTGATCAGCTCATTTTCAGACAGGTTTTTATATAAATGGATCAGGACAAAAAGTGAGAGAATCTTTTTTCCTGAAACTTTCAGAGTCTCTTTCCACAGAGGGGACACATGGTTATGTAGAAAAGACATGAAGAAGTGGATTTTGCATAATAGGTGACCTTTAAATCTTAAGTTTGCAGAACAGAAACAGGTATTTTTGTCACTCGCCTATGATTTCCATGAAGATCTGCTTCCAGTGCTCGCAGGTCTGGAAACCCCGTTGCAGAGCGGAGGATTGTGGGAGAGAGGCGAGCTGCTCCTGGATAAAGTTCTCCCACTGAAGGAAGTCGGAGTAGGTCTGAAAGGAGGATTTGCCCTTGTATGTGGTCTGGGGATAAGAGACAGGTCGAGTTAAAGGCATGAAAGTGAAATTCAAATGTGCCGCTCTGTGATGCAGGAACATGAAAAGCTGGAGATGAAGAGACTTACAGACTCAAAGGCCATGGACAGCCAGCGGACCTTTCCTCCGTGCAGCCCCACCGCCCCGTGGGAGAGCTGCCCCGGGAGCAGGTTGGGCTGCGGGAGGGAGAGACACTCAGGGTGGAGCAGAGGCAGGACAGAAGACAGCTTGTTACCTGAGGGGGACAGAACACAGGGCATTACACATTGTCAATAATTCTGTGTAATAGTTTACCAGGATTTTGCTTTGGATTTGAGTGTTTTTACAGCAAGTTTACCAAGTTAAGTCTTTCATACATTGCAGTTTGAGCTATAAAGTGTCTAAAATAAAGTTTAAGGGTTTATTTGACTGATTATTTCACAATTATTTTATATCATTATCATTTCTTAATTCATTTCTTTTTTATTTGGTTTTATAAAATCCCAGTGAGATTGCAGAAGTTTACACTTTTTTCTAAGCTATAGTCCAAAAGCCCAAAATATTCAATTTCCTATTAAAAATCATTAAGATAACCAGCAAATATGAATATCTGAGAAGTGGGAAGCAGTGCATGAAGTGCCCTTTTGCTCAAAAAAAAAGGTATAACGGTAAACGTTACGTGACTGATCCTTTTTTAAATTAAATGTGTGTGTGTGTTACCTGAAGGTAAACACTGCGCTCCTCCAGGCTTCACGAGTTGTGTGTTTGCACTTATAGCTTTACAGATTTTGCAAAGATGCTCCATTTCCTGGAACACATCGAAGTCTGGATCCAATATGATGCTGCCCTTTGAAGAGATTTCAACACCACGTCAGCCACATGAGACTATTCATAAATCGAGCTCTGATTTATTTCTGTTGATTATTAAGATGCACAAGTGTGAGCCTCACCATATCTCCGATCACGTGGTTGTCCCTGTGCTCGGTCCGGTTGACTCCCAGGATGCCGAACACAACGAACACCATGGCCCCGGTGTCCACCAGAGGACGCACCGCCGGGCGGCCACATGCCCCCCCCACTGCAAGGGTTGAAACCAAACGTTTTGGATGACTTCATCTTGGCAGCAGACGAGGGATCTTTGAAAATAGAACCAGAGGGAAAATCTCTCAACAGGCATCTAGTTATACAGTCTAAAAATATCTCTATAGCTGCAATTCTGTGGGAAAATCCTCCCGTGGGTTGAGAAAGTGCCACTTTAAGAAGCAATGTTTGAAAGAAGATGTGTATATCACTGCCTTTTCTCTATTATTAAGACTCAGTGTGAGGGAAAACATACATTTCAGCAGTGTGACACATGCTCTAAGAAGATAGCTTTCTTGGAGGACTGATGATGCTTTCTGAGACTTGCTTGCTCACCGCTGGGAAAAGGAAGATAAAAAGATCCCTGTGTGGGTCCATCAGGCCCAAAACTGATGCCACAGCCGGGCGGGTTGACACACACTCGGCTGGGATGAGGTCTCATGTGGCGCTGCGCGAAGTACAATCTCCTGAGATAGGAAAAGCAGAGCTGAAAATATACCTCAACAGCACAACAATGTACAGATACATTTGTCTGCACAGCTTTGTAAACTCATGAGCTTCAAATTCAGCATACAAATCCAAAATCTATTTAAAGAGTCCAACATATAGCTCAGTTGGTAGATGAACTGAGGCTTGGTCCCCATGCAGAGGACCCAGGACCTTAAGCTGCGTGTCATCCCCCTCTGTCTCCCCCTCTATATACGGTCACTTAGATAAAGGCACTGCAAAATTGAATAAAATAAATCGAACTAACTTTTTTAAAACTACCAAAACTAAAACGTCATTACAGCTCATCTACTTATACTTAGATGTCTTTCATTGGAGTTTTCACCTGCTGCTCTGCTGCACAGACGTCGCCACATAAAAGGAAAACTCTGGGCTCCAGCCGTGCCGGCGTTCACACGAGGTGGATGTGATCATCCAGCTGGGGTACGGGTGGTACACATGGGAAACACACACTGTCATTCTGCTGGTGTAATTGCCGCGGGGCTGATTATAAGCCTATTCAGATGAAACAAGATTAGTTATAAGCCGCTTTAGAGGCACATATGGCAGCACGGAGACATTATGGTACAACTCATTACATTTTTGCTCTCTCACCTGAAATGATGACACCTGTTCATGCTCTGTGCTGCACAGTTTCCACGGGGAGGGGGTGCTGGTGTTGAGGGAGAAGCGGTAAAGGGTTGCAGAGGAGACGTGGTCCAACTTTGATATGAACACTGTGAGTAAAAAGTCTAAACAACAGAACAAAGTACAACATTTCAGAATAATGAGAGAGGTTTGAAATAAAGAGGAAGTGGATGTTTGTGAACCACGTATTATTACCTGTTTGGTTGGTGTTTGAATTTGGTTTTACTGAGGTCCGATGAGCATTGGAGGTGGATGTGCTCGGGTGCTGCTGATGTGTGGAGAACTTAAATGCTGAGGAGGAAGTGTGTGTGTACAGAGGATGGGGCTTTTCCATGAACACACCTGCAGGACACAGCGTGCACACAGGATTATTAGATATGCAAAAGTACCATTTGTATATTAATTACTAAACCCCTGTTATCTTGAAATCTTGAAGAAATAGTTATTTTTCTAACATGCCTGCAGGTGAACAAAGAGTAAAAAAACAAAAGAAATGTCCCGATGGATTAAAGTAAATGGGTTCACACAGTTCACAAAAAACATGCAATTTTTCAAAAACCTTTTAATGACTTTCAAAACCCTTATTGTCATATGCACAATAGCTACAGCATAGTTGTGGCAATGAAAATGTCCCAAGCTCCACCATCAGTGGAACATACCATGAACAGTAAGATCTAAAAATAAATAAGGAGGTAAGTTAGTGCAATAAAAAAATCGTGCAAATGTGAGATTGTTTCTGTAGAAGTGTTTCAAATATTAAAGTTTCAGACAAAATGCACGTGTTTTGGCAGTAGTGAGCACACATCTGGATAAATGAGACTTGGATTATACCGCACGAGTTGTGTGATAGTTTTTATTTTGGATATTTTGCTATGGTTTTGCTATTGTTAGACATGGCACTAATTTACTTAAATCTACCAAAACTAGTCTAATTTATTGTATTCTTTGTCGACTATGGAGGCACGTAACACAAACCAAGTCTTCTTGTAGGATTGAAGGTAACAGAAGGTGAGTCATTGATCTAAAAATGGTCACTTTATGGGTGAAGTATCCCTTTGCCTGAGGAGCAGGACAGTCTCACCTGAGCACATGGGACAGGAGATGCCCTGCCCGCTGAGGTTACTCCTCAGAGCCAGCAGAGTCTGGAGGTTTGTGTCCCGGCGGAAGAGGAGGGGGGCGTGAGTGGCCGGCCTCAGGAAACAGCAGCAGCCGGCAGATAAGAGCAGAACCAGGAGGAAGACACCTGGGCGACAGGAGGACAAAGACAGATGATAGCAGAGGGGAGGGTCTGATGGAGCAGATAGAGCAGCTGTTAGACCGATCAGGAGCAACGATCAATTACAGTCTCTCCGTAAAAGAGGGAGGATGAATGCTGGGGGAAAGGTGTTTGCTCTTCCTCTGGCAGACTCAAGCGCCTCAGGCTGGACAAGAAAGGGCTGGGTGTCTGTTTGTGTTCACGCCTTTCATTTTAATGTGAAAATAAGTGTTCATGTCTTTAAAGGTAGGGTAGGTAAGTTTGAGAAACCGGCTCGAGATCGCTAGAATTTGAAAATACACAACCGGAGAAAATCTGCCACTTCCTTATAGAGCCCCTCCTCCAACACACACGAACGCGCACATGACCAATGAGGGCACGAGATAAGTTTGTGCACAGATGGAAGGCTGACAGGCAGGTAGGCCATCCAATCATTTTAGCCGGCCCGGCTAAAATGATTGGTCGTGCTTTTTACAGTACTACCGCTTCCACAGATGACATTTTTTTATGGATTTTTTGTCAAAGCACTTAAGAGATTCATTGCTATCGGGATGTTAAGAGCATTCCATGGAATATAACAAAAAGTGTATCTCGAGCCGGTTTCTCAAACTTACCTACCCCACCTTTAAGTTCTATGTATCTTTTAGCACTTATTTGTTCTGTGTTTTATCAGTTTTGTGCGCTACATTGCTTGGATGCTTTTTATACAATAACAATAAAGATATTGACTTGATGAGCTGAGGTTACTCTCTGGGCTGACAATGCCTGAGAAAACTGAACAAATACAACTCCCTGATATTTTCTAGTTTTCTTTAGAATAGATTGCCTTGTCAAAAAAGTGAGTCCTGAGTTTTTCTTATCCTTTCTCAGCAGAAACCTCCACTTCAGTATCACTTATAGTTGTATCTGTGTTCTGAAGGTGTTTACAAAGGGCTGTGTTAACATATCAATTACAGTCTTGTTTATGGAGCATTTTATCACATAAAACATGCAGAAAAAAAGACAATCTTTACGTCTGCTGAAAGTATTTTATGACTTATAAAGTGATACACAAAAATATAAATAATTCACATCACATTACGTTTCATTTAGCTGATGCTTGTATCCAAAGCCTCTTACAATAAGTGTGATAAAGACACACACTCAGAACAGCCAGAATCCTGCAGGTACATTAGCTTTGAGCCCGTAATGATTCTCAATTTAACTAACTCTTTCAAGTACTACCACTTAGATTTTGTTATTTAAGTGCCAAGGTGCAACGTCTGCAACCGAAGTGTTCAGTGTGTGTAGACTTTCAGCAGTCCTGATTGGTCTCCATTGATATTTTTTGGAGCGAGACCATGGAAAACAAACAGGATATCGAACCTCACCTAGAACGGCTTTCCGTCGCTCCACAGCTGGCTCTGCCGCTAAGTGCTTCAGGGCCCATCGGAGGTTAGTGCTCACCACGCCCACATGCTGCTGCCCCGGAGCAAACGGAGGTGTCTCCACCGACAGGGACAGAATGGATGCATCACCGTCTGTGTCACAGGAGCCTGGCCGAGACAAAGACAGAGGACTTTGAGGTGCTTTGACAGAAGTGTTTTACAACCTAGACACTCATTCCCTTTCCCATCCCCCATGATTGTCTCAGTGCTCGAAGATAATAATCTCACCTGGCTCCATCTCCACTGACAGAAGTGCTACATCATCATCCTCATCTGACAAAGGACTGTGGCTCGCTGACAGCCCTGAAAACAGCTTCCAGCTTCAGAGGGGAGGAGGCGGTTTAGAGGAGAGACAGCTGCAGAGATTACACTGTGTTCTCGCACAGCATGCACAAATAATGTCTAACACCAAAGTTAAAGGTCACCTATTATGCAAAACCCACTTTTTCATGTCTTGTATACATCAACATGTGTCCCCTCTGTGTAAAGAGACTCTGAAAGTTTCAGGAACAAAGATTCTCTCACTTTTTGTCCTGATCCATTTATATAAAAACCTGTCTGAAAATGAGCTGATCAGATTTTGGCCACTTTATGATGTCATAACGATTTTTTGGCTTGTGTAACCATTAGCCAATTACCAACCAAGGTAACCCCCCCCCCACCTTATCACCTGAATCTCCTCCTAGAGCACCATTGGGTTCTTTTTAACCAAATCTCTCTCAGAGGGGCGTGGGGAGGGGCTCCTTATTTTCATCTAAAGTAACAGACAGAGAATCAGCACTTTTGAAACAGGGCTGAAACAGAGGGGATTATGGGATGCTGCAATGCATGATCTGTTTGGTATTTGGAGCCAAACACTTCAGAGACATGTTTTGTATATATCTGAGACCTATAATATATTGATGAAAAACAGTCTAATAGGGGACCTTTAAGGGAGCAACGTCTCACCAATTCAACCAGGCGTGTTCCTGAGGCTCCACAACCTCAGTCCAGATGCACAGGGCGGCGGGCATCAGGGCGGAGACCCAGAGCCAGCAGCAGCTCACAATGAGGGCCATGAATAAGCCGAAGTCATGCACGGCCGGGATCTAAGTGTCAGTTAAACGAAGAGCAGTGTAAAGGACCTTGAAACATTTAATTTGTGCTTATCGTGTGAAAATGCCTGTCTGCTGAGAGAGGCAGTTCTGCTCATCCATAGCAGGGGAGTCATTTAAACTCCCTGTACTGATCCTATTAACGTCCGGGTTTCTCCTCTAAGAATACCTGAGAGAAAGTGTTGGCAGCGTAGGCAGCGGCAGTAGTGAAGGAGGTGAGGAAAGTAGCGCGGCCGGCTGTTTTAATTGTGTAGATCATTCTCTGCTGCGGCTGACGCAGATGGGAAGCCTGTCGGAAGGTGCTGATGAACACAAATACATCATCCACCCCTGAGCAACAAGAGAGAAGCAAAGAAAAGCCTTATGACATTTCATCCGTAATGTACCGAAAAAGAAAAAAACTATGTCAATGTTTAAAGCAATAGATTGACATTTTGAAAAACATTTTTTTTTACTTTTTAGTTTATAAGATGAAACTGTCATGTTTAAAGATAGTCTTTGCACTTCCCAAATATAGAACTATTCCTTAAAGGGGCCCTATTACACTTTCTGGGGTTTTCTCTTTCCTGCAGTGTTATAGGTTTCTTTTCCCTTACCAATCCCAATAATAACAAAGGCTGCAACTCCATTGAGAATGCCCAGGTACCTCACGCCAAAAACAACATGGTACAAGAAAAGAGCCATCAGGCAGCTCAGTCCAATGCTGGCGAGTCCAAAGAAAGTCAGAAACACTACAAAGACACAAGAAGGAGCTTGTTAACATTCATATGATGTCAAAGGACAACACAAAGGGAAACATTTAGATGTGTACACATGAATGAAAGTGTACACAGAGCAGGTCCTACTGTACCAGAAAAGGAGGTGAGGACATAGACGAGCACAGTAATGCAGGCTCCACTGATGACAGCCAGCATCATGTCGTTGTGAAAGGTGTGTCTCACCTCATCATCAAACAGCTCCGTGCCCCCGTACAGCACCTTCACCTGGCTGGGACAAGGGCAGCAGATACAAAATACCATCACATTTAGTTTCTTATTTACAAACATTTCTTATGGTTTTAATTTTCCTTTACATGATCTTCAATGCTTTTCAAGTAGAAAGGGTGCATGTTGTGAATTCAACTTAGGAGCCGGAGCTGCAATGAGGTAACTTAACGGGATTTAACGTGTAAGGATAATACATTTTTTCTGTTTCATATACGGCAGGGGTGTCAAACTCAAGGCCCGGGGGCCAAATCCGGCCCGTGACTTCATTTTATGTGGCCCCACAAGAGCTTGCAAAGAATATAATATGTTTATTATACGGTTACATTGCGATTTACAGAAGCACGTTGCCCATAAACTACATGTCCCACAATGTTGCTTTTTTTCCAAAGTGTTAATTTGTTTCTAAAAATGTCGCTTCTTTTTTTTGATTTTTACTTTTTTTCCAGAATGTGGATTTTCTTTTTAAATCATTTTGTGACATTCTCACTGAAGAGACTTGCCATTATTTACCCTAGACTTCTGCTTTCAGACCTAGTTAATTATGAAGTTATTACCCTATCTGATAATAATCCAATGCAGAGTAATATAATACATTATTTTATATTTATTAAATATTTATATATGTATTTTTATATAGTCTTAAAGTTACAACCGGCCCTTTGAGTGCAACCATAATGCTGATGTGGCCCGTGATGAAATTGAGTTTGACCCCCCTGATATACGGTCTGATGGTAATGACAAAGTATGGGAGCCTACTCTTTTGTGTTGGGAAAGATTTAAAAATACCTCATCTCCAGCATTCCCCACTTCACCCACATGTATGCCCCCTTTCTTTTTACTAATAATTAACGTTCAAACACAAGAAAGTGCATTTGTTTATATTCTACCAGAAAACCTCAACTGTAGGTCACAAAGGGCAGATTTAATAAAAAATATGCCTGGAATGAAAAAAATGTGTGAAATGTTTTTTTAACCATTTATTACAAATGTGTTGGAAAAGTGACTGAAAGGCAGCGAAATGAACCCTGAAAGGATGGATGATGTACTATGATTCCCTCCTGACCTGGTAGACTGCTTGGCCAGGATGTCTGCGTACTGAACCACAAAGTTCTTGAAGCGTGACCTCTGCTCGTGAGCTCGGTCCTGCAGGGAGTAGAAGGAAGGGAGAGGAGCCCCGAAGTGGATCTCACTGCGTAAGAGAGAGGAGGAGAGACGCTCAGGAGACAGACTCTCATCCACGTACCAGTAGAACTGTGGGTGGGTGATGGCCAGACTCAGAGACCCTGGGAATACAAACACAGGATATGTTAGGGCGACTTTTTATATTATATTTTCGTTTTCCTCTTTTATTCCATATATGATTCCATTTGATTCCATTATATTTATAGTCACTGCTATATTTTACGATATTTTTTATTATATTTTTTATTAGTTTAAATATTTTTTATAAAATATAAAAGTTATAGTTCTCTATCTATGTTTTTCAAATGCCTCGTGCGTGTCAACCTAGAAAGAAGTAGAAAGTACAGGTATTTGTGTTTAAAATGTAAGAAGTAAAAGTAAAAAGTCGTCAGAAAAACAAATAGTGGAGTAAAGTACTGATACCAGAAACATGTACTTAAGTACAGTAACGAAGTATTTGTACTCCACTACTTCCCACCTCTGATGTAGAGGGATAAAGACCACCTACCCTGTAATAAACCTGATTCTGATTCTGATATGTATTTCTTCACACTTGAAATCTGTTAAATTGGACCCACCTTGAATATCAGCAAGATCAGGGCCCATGCCATCGTAGTAGATCTTGCCTCCTCTCTCACTGGGGTACAGGTAGGACAGGAGGGAGCTGGGGGGGGAGCAGTAGGAGGGTCCCAGTGGCAGATCCCTCAGCATCTCCAGAGGCTTCCAGCAGAACTGATGAAACTGAGGGTGCTGCATGAGCAGTCGCTCCACATGGTGAATGGTCTGCAGGCGTTCAGGAGTGAAGATGTTCAGATCTCCCTCCCCTTGAGCCACAAACACCAGCTCAATCCTCCACTGGGCCTGGCTCTGCAGGTAGTAATTGGGAGCAAACCTGCGCCTCCTGATGAGAGGCAGAGTCATATTTCCATCCCGTGATCTCTCCGCCTCCTCCTCTGCTCTTTGATTTGAGTCTTTGTGCTTCCCCGTTTCATCCTGACCCATATCAACAAGCACTCTGCTTTTATCTGTGCTCACAGCGGATCGTCTCCTCTGATCATCTGCTGCCTGTAAAAGCTCTTTTTGAGGAGCGGGGGACCCGACGCCCTCATTATCCGTCCTGTTGAACACTTCCTGTCCCTTCAGCCTCTCCAGCAGGAGCTCCATCAGGGCCTCCGACTCGCTGTCCTCTATGTCCCGCCTACGTCTGTCCCATGACCCCAGCTGAGTCTTCACAGCGATGGCGAGGGCGTCGAAGCGCTCTGCAGAGAAGTGGCTGTGAACCTCAAAGGCACTGTAGGACAGGTCTATGTCCAGAGGAGGGCAGTAGAGGAGCATGTAGGCAAACAGGGCGCAGGGTAGTGACACAACTACCCCTAAAACCACTCCACTGGCCCAGGGCTGAGTGTACACCCACCCCACTGCCCTCCACAGTCCACACTCCTCCCCAGAGAAGCACCTCCGACCTGCTGCGTGTTCTACTCCATCTTCTTCCTCCTGCTCCTCCTCCTCGTCATCTTCCTCGCCTCCCCAGCTGGTCTGAAACAGCAGTGGCTCATCCTCCACATCCATGCTGGCACCTGTCAGGGACACATAACACCACTTTATCATCACTCACTAAACCAACACCCCCTTTCCATCTTCGGAGGAGAACACATTGGATGTTTGAACTCCAGGATGAAGGACACAAGTGAATGCATCAGACAGAATGAAGGACAAGATAACTTCTAGAAGTTGCACTGAGCGAGCAAGGACGTGAGAATTACGTTATTCCTCAAGCAGCTGTTGACAAAGGGCTCACATTCGCAGAGAATTGAGGAGGGGAGACCTTTTTTTCTCAAGGGCTTAGAAGAGAAAATGGCCTGCTTTCGGATGCTGATCACAGTTTGGGGGTGAGACAGGCTAAAAGATGTGATTTACTTCTTCTCTCTGTCAGCGTGTGCAAGCCATTATCACCTGGAGAGGAGCTGCTGGTGGCTTTTACATATCAACAGCAGCCGTGTGTGCGCTGCAGCAAATTCAATCATCTCACATGTCTAATTACCGACAAGAAGAGCGAGTGGTGGATTAAGAGAGGGTTTCTCTCCTGTGACGGGCAGTCTTTGAATAATAGTGTCAATAGGTGACACTACTTTCCCACAAGATACTGCAGTTTGCATTCAAGTGGCAGTGAGCCCACTAAGCAGACATTTATTTATTCTCCTTAGAGCCGGGCTTTAAGGTCAGCCAGGTAAGACAGGGAATCTTGATTATGTGTAAAAGATAGCTGCGCCCGGCCCTGGAGTTGAAGTGAAAATCCATCAAAAAAAGGAGAATTTACAAATCATAGCATGTAATCGATATTTGTAAAATGATAAAGACTGCTAGAGTTGGAAAGCAGGGAAGGAAAACTCTTCGGAGACAGACCCTGAAGCTATAAATAAAAGTGGCTGGTGGATTTATGAGATTTGTGTTCGTGCTTTTTCACCTAGACTGACTTTATTTCATAGTAGAAGCCAAAGGAAAAATTTGTTTGTGTCTGCTGGAGAAAAATCACCACCAAAGTTCACTACAAATGGAGGAAGTCATGGCAACATTGATAACAGCGTTACTTGTATTTCTATACTTTTTGAGATAGACTTTGATTAAAGAACTTAAACGCCACCTTTCTTATGTATGCTTATGGAGATGAATGCTACATTTGAGTTTGTCTGTTGAGATTAAAAGCAAACGCTCCACTGTTTAATACACTGTGGGGAAAAAATGACTTTCTTGGGCCAATCGTTTTATTTCCACAGTGTTTCTTTTATTAATCGCCATGTCATCTCGCTGGTAGAGACAAGGAGAGCAGCACACCAACATCTGCCCACACACTGAATGTGAACGTGCTCTTTCAGGAGACAAATCCATTAATGCTGTTGGGAGGTTTGGCACTAAGGTGTGCAAACAGAGAACAAAATATGCTAGCCCAACCAGATCATCTCATTAATTGTGGTCATCACTGTGCTCTAAAATAACACGGGAATAGTTGTTTTTCAATGTTATCGTCTGTAACTTGGTGGCATCATTTGGTCATCTGCATGCATCAGGGGCTGATATTTCAAAATGAGCGTAATTATGTTGTTTTCTGTATTGCCTCCATGAAAGCTACTTTTCCTTTTTCAAATGTTTTTCTGCCCAAAAAATTATGTGGCAAAATCAGGGAGAAATATTATTAATAATAATAATAATAATAATAATAGTAGCTTGGATTTATATAGCGCCTTTCAAGGGACCCAAGGTCTTAGAGATGTAATTGCACATTTAGAGTAAATGAAATGCAATACAGCTCTGGTTTAATACCATTATTGTAATCCTGTTACATTTCATCATCTCTGCCTCTCCAGCTTTGTTTTGATGATGGCGCTCTCATCAACAGAGGATGAGAGGAGGCAAGCAGATGAGAACAGAAATATGATGAGGAGTGGAAAGAAAACCCTGGGGAATGACTGTCACCCATCAAACAAACAACCATCAGATATCTGCAAAAAGAAATGGTGCTTTTCGGCTGTTTAATATTCATGGAAAATCTAATTGAGAGGGCTACAGGCAGATCTCCATCTCTGTGTCAGTTTCCACATCAAACAGGCTGATTAGTGGTGCAGATGTCAAAATCTGACAGTTTGAGGAACTCATTAGAGCCTGATGTGCAGATTTAGTGCCCATTAGACATTAGGGTAGACTGTGTGCAGCATGCTAACCTTACTGTGTGCACCTTGCATCAGACAGCATGCAGGTACAGTGAAAGGTAACCACAGTGATGCACTGCCTTCAGGACACATGCTTTCCTCTCTTTATGAGTCTTCACATCCAAGAACATTGCCCCTCGTACGATAATTATGAGCGGTGTGCAGCAGAGCCTGCTATGACTAATGTGTTTACAAGCTACCGGGATTGTTTGACGCTGCTATTTTTTCTGCAAAGATTACGAGTACAAAGTCAGTTTAAACCCTGAGCAGGTGTGGATAAAAAAACAAAAATAGTGTAATTTGGCATCCTGCATGTATTGGAACAAACGCGGCCTCCCTCGTGGCTCAGTCTATATTAGGGGGCTGTGTTTCGTTGACTATAATACCGTTTTAGACTAAGCTGTGTGAAAGATACATGCACAGAGAGGCCTCAAGTGAATTGCAGTTTATGAGGTGTACAAAGCTTGTATGAATCCAAGATGTAAGACTTCATTTTGAACTTTCTGTGTCGCTTTCCCTTTTGAACATTTTAACAGAAGTGTTGCCATCTGTACCTGCCTTCTTTTCAGCAGTATGTGAAGTGTTGTGCTGCACAGAGCTATATTTGTTGAGCCCGTAGGAGCAAAAGAAGGGTGAAACTCCACTAGAGCAGATTTTCTTGTGTGTTTTATCTCCCATAAAAGCGCACATAAGCAGCGTGTCAGCCCTTTTACCCTTCACTTCATCTCTGGATTGCATCTGGTATTTGAGGAGGGAGCTCTGAGCAATCCCGGCATTCTGCGATCCTCAACACTTCACCTGTAATCCTTTCTCTCGCATCCCCGCTTTTTCTCGCCTTCCCTCACTCTCTTGCCCCTTTCTCCCCTCCAATTCCTCTGCCTTTTATCTCCGTGTCTCTGTCTTTCCCACAAAAGGTGAGATGTGTAACCTTCATTATTGACAGCAGCTAAAAATAACCCCACCCTCCTCAGTTGTATCTCCTCTCTCATCCAATATGGATATCACATGCTACCTGCACACACATTCAGCAAGGTGTAAACCACCTCATTTAAAGGGCATTCATCTCACCACTAGGTCTGTATGAATATCTCCTCATGCTTGAGTGCTCAGCAGGGTGTTTATAGCGGACGTGCCTTCTATGCTTTATGCACTGGGAATCTGGAGTCTTCAAGACAAACTCTCGAGATCTATTTGCACCAAACAACATTTTTTTTTCATTGTCGATGTAGGGAGCGCAAAGCTGTGTGTACTGAGAAGCATCCTGAGGCTGTACCGTGCAATCTCTCACACTCTCCTGAATAAAATATTGTAACTAAGCTCTGTACTACAGTGATGGTATTTTCTTTTTCTCATAAAGACAAGATATTCAAACACATAAGAAGACTAATTTATCTGCTGCAGAGTTAATCTGATGCACAAAGCTTGTACTCCAAGCAGATATGAGGACTTTTCGTTGATTTATTAAAGCTTATTCAATCAATATTTGGATTTTTCCTAGCATTACCTTGATTTTTTTACAGTTTCCCTTCAGCAATGAATATTTCCTATCTGTAAATCAGGCCCGAACAAATGCGTCCCTATTAATGCACATGCTTGCAACACTGAGGATGATCTTACCTGATGAGAAGAGAATTACAGGTGAAGCGTTCAGGCCTGCAGGGTCCACTTGAAATGTGCTGAACTTGTGCTCTGCAATTTCATCTCATCCTCTGGTGTGGGAAAAAAAAACTGCTTTATTGTCATAGTTAATAACTCATCAAGAAAGAGACACACCAAGGGAACCCCAAATGGAAAATGACAGACTAATCCATTCCCATCCCGCCCCCCAAACACACTATAGGAATCCTGTAATCTCAGCAGTTAATAATGTGTTGTTTTCCTCTCCTTTTATGCTCCTCTTTCCTTTCTCTCTCGCTTCTGTGCACCCTCCCCTCCTCTCTTACCCGGTTGTCCAGGCGACAGAGTCAGTGAGAGACATTTCTTCCTAGAAGCTCCTCTCTCTCTCTCTCCCATGGCTTTGTTCAGCTTGCTCTGCTGACTGGCTCACTGGTGGACGAGAGGCGAGGAGGGAGAGCAGTGGGAAAACCTGCCGTGAATCACTGGAAGACGGCATGACAGCCTGGAGAGGTTGTATAAATCACCCAAAAAGTACCTTGGGCTTGTTCCACTCAAATGCAGCTGATTTTATGTCACCAAGCTGATGCAGTTGTCACGACACTGTAGATGAGCCCCCTCCCATGCTGTCAGAGTTGGTATGGTCTAGTCTAGCCTCAGTTTGTGGGGAGGTGGGGTGATCATAATAACTGGCTACATTTGGGAGACAAAAGTGCAGGCGATTTAAAACAATTACCTAAGAGTATGTTATCTCAGGGTTCATGCATGTTTTGTCTGGTTGGAGATGCAATCTGACAGCTGTGTGAACAGTTCATATTCTAGGTTCTACACTTTTTTCTGAAATGTACTTTTGTTTGCTCTGTACCGTAGCGCCCTCGCTCACTCTCATCCAACATTAATGAGCAGCTCTCCTCTGTTGCAGACACATTCAGCACATCCATCGCCTCAACTGTCAACTTCTGCTCAAGTTTTACTTGGCTTTTAGTCCAATAATCCGTCATTTAAATAGGAATGGATAGCTGGGAAGTGAATGTTCACCCTTTTTTTTAATCTCTTTACCGAGCAGGTGGTGCAGTGTGTGAGTCAAACAAAAAAGAAAGGAGGTTGTAAGAGGCTGCTGCTCACATCAATGCTGGTGTGTGTGTGTGTGTGTGTGTGTGTGTGTGTGGGCACTCTTCAGGAGACTTTGTCCTTATCCCTTTGGTGCAGCTGTGACGGACCCATCTGACTGACTGACTTTTTCAGTCACATGAGACCAATAAAGCGAAGCACAGAGAATCAAATCACATATTTAGCCGCGGCACTGAGGAAGACAAACAGATATAATAAAACCTGATCAATGCGTTATTGTTATAACTGCATATCGTCATAACACCAAACAGACTCTGCACAGTGTCTTTTGTCAGGGTTTAATGAGTTCCTTCAATCTCAGCAGACCTTATTCAGTAAACATTTACCACAAATATTGGCAGGCAAGAACTCATAGGCAGTGGACATGTACAATATACATTTAAATAATACAAAATATACAGAATTCAGCCATTCATACGTCCCCACATGCATACTGATCACACACATGCAAACCTACACAGGGCTTTCAGAGACACACACTGACAGGATGTTGGTTATATAAGTTATTGTATGATTGTCACCGATAAAGCAGGTCTTCCTGAAAAGCCTAATTTTTATGAAAAAGTATTTGTTTTGGCTTTTAGACGAGACTCACATTAATCACTGTCGGACTTGAGGGAAGAATCTGCCTGAACAACAACTTAAGTTTAAGGAACAGATGAAAAAAGATGAATAATTTGACACGTCTAGCAATATATCACACAATGAAACTATAATTGGTACGGACGGAAATGAATCTGCATGCAGGAGGTTTCTGCACATCGAGTGTCCTTACTAGTGGACGGGGACAATAATTGGGAACTTTTGTATCTCTCTGTGTCATTAACAGCAGAACAAATGGCTTCAGGATATAATGAGAAACTACAGGACATTACCATCTGGATCTAAAATCTAACAAAAGATGGCGTACCAGACCCATGTAACTGACTTTTCTTATACTTTTTGATAATTTATTTTCTAAATACTATGGAATATATACACTTTACATTAAAGGGCTGTCCAACTCTTCTCATACTAACCTATACAGGAGGATAATGTATGCATGACTACACACAACAAGTAGCAGTTAACAGTATGGCTGATATGTAATTTTGGCTGAGGAAAAAAAGAACCTGATATTGATCAGCTGTATAGAGCTGGAAAAACCATCTACATTCATACTTTAATTTCCGCAAATGACCATGGTTTGGGTTCAGTGTGGCATTGCAGTCAGCTCTGATTGAGTTGGATTTCCATTTTAATTCCATCTCTGGCGAGTGCTCCCACAAAGGGGATTACAGTTGGAACAGATCTAATCAAACGTAGTTTTAGCACCGCTAAAGGGGCTCGGAGGAAGCCCCGTTTTTATGGAAAGTGAGGAATTGTTTAACATAGTTTGATAACCCTTCCAAAAAAACACCCTAGAGAACATTTTAAATACTCCACATATCATCTACATTGTACACTTACAGCAATAACCTTACAACCCAACACACATTTTGTCACAAAATTAAAAAACAGATTTTGTTTTGTTTTCTTTGACATTTAAACTTTGCAGTAACACTTTGGGCCTGAGTGTTTGATCAATCGGCTCCGCTTCAGTTCACAGTGAAAAGCGACAGCCCCAGTGGCGCTGGTCAGAGTGACAGCTAATGGGATAAAGTAGATCTAAATGTGCTATGGTCATTGGTCCATGAGAAGACAGTAGTGCTGCCACACATAGACAAACACACACACTCTGACACACACTCTCTCAGTGCTGTAAACTCACATACACTCTCATACTCTCAAAGCTGTCCTGTGACAAGGGAAGTGTTCGTTTCCTCTCGTTAAAACAGATGGGTCTCCCGGATCTCACAGATGATGTTATTGGCTTTTTTGAGGGCCTGAGAAAAAGAAAGAAGAAAAAAGAGGGTGGTTAAATCCCCGGCTTTAAACTAGTAGATAAACGAAAAAGACAAATGACTTGCAGTTCTTGAGTCTGAGAGGCTGCCAGTTTTACCTCGAGCATCTGAGCGACCTCGGTCCGCTGCTGGGCCGTGTCCTGAGACTCAATGAGCAGGTCCTGCAGCAGCGGCTGTTTGTAGAGCTGACCCACCAGCTCACTCTGCAGATGCTCTTTCACAAAGTTCACCAGGAAGTGCATCACTGTCTTGGGCACACTGCGAACACACAAAGTTTGGAAATCAGCATCACTGACAACTGAGCTCTAATGAGAAGAAAGGAAGGGAAATGGGGAGTGCTCTGAAGTTCAGTCCAACCTGTCCTGGATGCTTTTGCGTACGATGAGGAAGTAGGAATGGATGAGGCGAGAGATAACCTCGCAGTCCCTCTGCTCCTTCGAGCTCAGCTTGCGGGATGCGGGCACCGCCTGGCCGAGGGACAGAGGCAAGGGAAAATGTTGACAGTGAGCAATGTATTCACCACTAAGTGTTTTGTCCTACTGCTAATCCCGCCACTCACCGTGTCGAGGAGGTTAATGGCCTGGCCTTTCATGGAGCTGCCAAAAGCAGCAGCGGGGATTTTCTCTTCCGCCACCTTCTCGTTCTTCCAGCGCTTCCCTCCATCAATGGCCTCCGCCTGACAGCGAGAAACCAGAGGAAGTCAGAAGGGTCAAAGCAATTTCTGGAGTCTGGAATTAGACTATAAAGGGAACTCCAATGTTTGGCTGTGAAACATAATGGTTACACAGCCAAACTTCTGCAGTTTACCCTGGCAGAATAAAGGACAAATGAGTGTACCTGCTGTAAGGGCCAAACAACTACCTGCTGACTGTTGACAGATGCAGAGACCTGTGCTGCGTCCGTGAAGTCGGGATGTTTTGTGTTGATGTAGGCGAGCTCTATGGATACTAAATTGTGTACCTAAAGGAAGAAAAGCAGAATGAAGGTGGATAATAGGACTTGGCTTGTTAGTTTTTTTAATTAGTATGAAATATTGAAGCGAAGCTGTGGATTACCATTTCATTAGTAATCGGCAGGCGCTTCCTCAGTAATCCAGTCACTACTTCAACAATGGAATCGTGCAGTTTGGGGAATCGCAGAAGCTCCTTGGAGAAAAAAAGACATACACTTAGTGCTTTCATAATTAATGCTAATCTAAGTCAGTTTATTGAACAAAGTAATTCAAATGTCAAACATATATTAGCATCTCTTGGCTAACCTGTGTGCTATAGGAGGAGCAGTGCTGGATGATCCTCTGCAGCTCTTCATGAACCAGCTCCACACAGCGCATACTGGGCTCCTCCAGACGCTTAATTTGCCGCTTCGCCAACAACTCAAAAGACACCTCGGGCACAAAAAGAGCTGGCCGCGGACCCTGCAGGGCAACACACACACACACACACACACACACACACACACACACACACACACACACACACACACACACACACACACACACACACACACACACACACACACACACACACACACACACACACACACACACACACACACACACACACACACACACACACACACACACACACACACACACACACACACACACACACACACAACACACACACACACACACACACACACACACACACACACACACACACACACACACACACACACACACACACACACACACACACACACACACACACACACACACACACACACACACACACACACACACACACACACACCTACCTCTATTATTTACCTGCACTTCCTCTAAATGAGGGACCTTGACTAGAATTCAGATCAAACTAATTACACAGAGTCAGAGGAAGCTCACCGTAGCGTTGCGGATGGCAGTGAGGATATCAAGCTCAGACAGTCCTCCCAGGGGGTCGATGGACTGTAAAGTGCGCCCAAAGGTCTCATGGAATATGTAACAGATCCGAGCACCCCCGCAGCTGTAGGGGAGAGAGGATCAGCTGTGACACCAACGCAATTGCTCAGCGGCGTGTGTCGACAATGTTAATCGTGCCCAAATTAAATGCAGTGAAGCAAAA